TTCTGTTTTGGATACAAGGCACATTTCTTCCTGTAATTAACGAGTCTTTCCTTTTAACGACTTCCGTTGGGGTCTGTAATTGACTATCTTTCCTGTAATTTAGGTCCAGTGGTGTTCCTGGGGGCTCACCCTTCTGGCCTCCTGACTCCATTTTCAATGAGGGTTTCCCTTATCAATCTTCACAGTCCCAAAGAGTAACAGTTACTGAACAATAAAGCCTCGCCATTCACACAGATGATTCTCACCGGGGATGAGGGCAAGGAGGAGAGAAAAGAACAGTTATGAGAATTAGATCCGAGGAAGAGGGAGATGTAGTTTGACCAAGCATATTGTTCAAGCTCCCTTTTTAAATGAAATGTGAATGTAACAGGTTGAGTTAAAAAGAAGTAGATCCTTTTAAAAAGAATTGTTTTTTATGTTTTGCTCTTGTAGCCTTGAGAACAAAACAACAAAGTGAAAAGGTAACTTCCCTCCTCCTCTCTTGGGGAGGAAGAGCCTCCAGACCTCGGGCTCTGGGCCTCTGGGTCCCTCACACAGGAGGGCACTGACAGCTCTTCAGTGCTGGGAGCTTATTCCACAGACCACCCCGGCGGTGGTTTGGAAGGTCTGTGCCTGTGGAGAGAAGGGGCCTGGAATGGGGGTGGGACAGAGAGTTTTCAGAGAGGTGGAGCACCAAGGGGTAGGACCCTAGCACCCTGGGGCGGGGGGTGCTGTGTGAATTCCTGAGGATGGAGCACCAGGTTCATGACCTTGGGAGCCCAGGCCAGGCTCAGAGGTCCAAGCTGGGGACAGAGGGAGTGGATGCCACGTCAGGATCGTCTGCTGCCTCAGGGTGCAGCCAAGAGTGAGCTGACCTGGGCCCAAAGCCGGGTGAGCAAGCCCTGCTTTTCTTGCATTCGGGGTTCCTTAAGACTCTGGTCGACAGCGCTGTTCTTCAACAGTCATAATCCCCAAGCACGCACTTTCAGAGACCCCGTCTTACATCATATAAAAGGTACTGAAATGCACCTGTGTCCCACATTAAATAAAATTTCTTTGGCCAAAACATTTTTTTGAGTTTTTATAATTTTGCTTCTGAGATTTTTCTATGCCTAATTCATTTAATTTATGTTTGGCTCTAATTTCTGAGGAAAACATTGTGTGTATTGTAAAAATTTGTTTTTTTAAGTTTTTTTATTTTCTCTTTATCTCCCCGAAGCCCCCCAGTACATAGTTGTGTATATTTAGTTGTGGGTCCTTCTAGTTGTGGCATGTGGGATGCCGCCTCAGCATGGCCTGATGAGTGGTGCCATGTCCACGCCCAGGATTCGAACTGGTGAAACCCTGGGCCACTGAAGCAGACTGTGTGAACTTAACCACTCGGCCACAGGGCTGGCCCCTAAAAATTTTTTTGAACTGTTTTCGAATTTGACAGTTTTTTTTTTTGAGAAAGATTGGCCCTGAGCTAACATCTGTGTCAATCCCCCTCTATTTTATATGTGGGACGCCTGCCGCAGCGTGGCTTGACATCGGTGCTACGTCTGCACCCGGGATGTGAACCTCGGGCCTCCAAGGCGGAGCACACAAACCCAATGGCTCTGACACCGGGCCAGTCCCTGTGGCAGTTTTTTAATACTAAATTTAATTACTATTAAATAGGCAACAATAGAACATTTTCTAAAGTTTAATTAAGCATCCATTAATTGTGATTTGGCTAGTTTTTTTGAAATGAGTGGCCTTTTCTCATCTTCAGGTCTAAGAGATTCTCATAGGCCCTGAAAAGCTCATGGGTCCTGGCCCTCTGACTCTAGGGTCTACTCGATAAAGTATTCCTGGACGTGTCGCAGGAAAAGGGAAGGGGCTAGAAGGATGACCAACATTCCATCTATTACCAGCCTTGTTGAATGGAAAGCTGAAATCAGGTTTAATTTAGGATGTTCAAGAAATGCAGTATTTCTTGTCTCCAGTGTTGTGGAAGGATCCATGCCTGAGACACACACTGAAGAGAGTAGCTACAGGGGGCACAGCTATAAAAGTTTGGGAAGCCCTGACCTAGTCAGTCTTATTCCAAGGGTCTTCAGGCAGTACCTAAGAAAGGTGCCAACTGGGAGGGGCTGGCTGTCCTGATGGCCCATGTGAGGTGCCCATACATCAAACTCACCCACTAGTTCCCAAACTGTTTTGAATAGTTGCACGAATTTTGAAGTTATTAGCCTCCAAGAGTAAATATCTCTCTATATTTTGGTGAGGAAAATTAGCCCTGAGCTAACACTGCTGCCAATCCTCCTCTTTTTGCTGAGGAAGAGTGGCCCTAAGCTAACATCTGTACCCATCTCCCTCTATTTTCTATGTGGGATGCCTGCCGCAGCATGGCTTAACAAGCTGTGTGTAGATCAGCTCCCCGGATTTGAACCGGCAAACGCCAGGCTGCCAAAGGGGAGCGTGCAAACTTAACCGCTGCGCCACCGGGCCGGGCCCCAAGAGTAAATTTTTTTAAGGATAAAACTCACTTAGCTGGATGTTTGCTAGTGTGTTTAATTTAATTTTATGTTATGCTTATTGCTTGTGTGCTTGTGGTACATAGGTTAAAATGCTCATTTACAAGAGGATGTTTTAATTTAGCAAGCTGGCAGTGGTATAAAGTTTTAATTTTCTTTAAAAAATGTAAATTTGCATACCACATAAAATCAAGTGGTGGTTCTGTCTAGCAGCAAGGAAGTGAACTCGAGACTGTCTTGTTTGTCCAGATTGATGTATTGTGTCTTGATGGCCTGCTGTACTGGGCACCAACACTTTGCCCCCAGTGTGTGTTAGTCTCTGCTCTCAGCTGGTGACGCTTCTTTGTAAGAGAAAATGATGATATACTGTCTTGCCCCAGGTCCTCTAGAAAACAGAGCCTGAGGCACAACTAATGTGCAAACGCTTTATGTGAGGGGCACGATACCAGGAAGCAAGAGCAAGGGGAAGGCGTGCTCAGTCACGCCATTCGGCTCTCAAGCAGCTGTATGGGAACCTTACTTCTCAGAACAGTTCGTGGGAGGGAGGGCAGGGAGAAAGGAGAAGTATTCATTTTTCTGCTTCTTCACATTTACTCTCTCTCAGTGGTCAAAGTTAGCCCCAAGGGGCACTCACTTCTGCATTCTTCCCAATTGTTACCTGGCCCTCTGGGCAGCTGTTAGACACACCAAAGCCTTTGTCAGCAGAAGGGCCTTCCTCTGAGTGAGCTATAGGTCGAGGGAGAGCCAGCAAGATGAGGGCAAGACCCAGGGACACTCCTGCCTGCCTACCTGCAGCCTCAGGACTTGCCTGGTCAAACCAGCATGTGTCAGGAATGCTAGGCAGGTCCTGAGGTGTGTCATGCCTCAGTCCCAAGGGAGCAGATGAGAGGGATACAGGGTGAGGCCTGAGGTGAGGTGTTAATGTGTTGTTCTGTGAGCACAAGAGACCGGGAGCAACTGCTGCAGAGAGCCCAGCTGGCACCCTGGCGGAGTGCTGTAAGCCCTACTTCCGAGGTGAGCTTGTTGAGAGCCTCCCTCCAAAAATGATCCAGACCTTCTCTCTAAGCCGTAAGAACAAGGTCCATGGCAAGCAATCTTCCCAGAGGGCCATCGGTAGCATTGAGCAGAAAGGCATCTTAGAGGAAAAGTGGGAAGGTTCATAACTAAGTCTAGCACTTACTCCACTAGAAAATAAGTAGAGATCCTTGCAAGGCAGGACAGGTATGTCCCACAAAACATCTTCCCTGGGAGGATGCCTCTTGATTTCAGTGGTTTTTAATATATTTACAAGGTTGTGCAATCATTACCACTGTCTATTTCCAGAACATTTTTGTCATCCCAAGAGAAACCCCATATACGTTAGCAGTCAGCCTCATTTGCCCTTCCTCCAGGCCTGTGAACCACTAATCTAATCTATTTCTGTCTCTTTGTTTGCCTATTCTGGACATTCCATATAAATGGAGTCATACAATGTGTAGCCTTTTGTGTGTGGCTTCTTTCACTTAGCATATTTTCAAGGACTATCTGTGTTGTAACATGTATCAGTATTTCATTCCTTTTCATGGCTGTGTAAGATTCCACTGTTCATATATAACACACTTTGTTTATCCTTTGATCAGCTGATAATTTTGTTTGTTTCCACTTTTTGATACTTCTTGATTTTTAATGCTCAATTCCATACAATGTCATATCTCTTGAAATAATGTTTTCAGCAATATTTATATAGAACGATTTATATTTCTATCCTGAAAACTTAATACAACATTTTAAACAAAAGGAAGAAGGAGAAAAGTAATGATTTATATTCTAAATAAAATTGGTAGAATCACACATAGATATTTTGAAAAGTGTGCTGAGTGTCAATGAAGGGGATGTCCATCTGGGACGTTGCTGGAGCTAAGAAAGAGATCCAAACATCATAGTCATCCACAGTGCATAAAGTTTGTGGTTAAATATTTGGTTTAGTTTCCTCAAAAGCAGAAAATAGAGACAAGGATCTGAGTTTAAATATCTTCTTTGGTTAAGGATCTGGGAAACACCGGTAAGGTAGTCAGTGTTGGACACATGCCTCAGAGTTACTCCATCAGGAGAGAGGGAGCAGTGGTCTTTAGCCACCCACTCTGTCAGTCATTGGGTGAGAACTGCTCCCAGGGGGCGTTATTGGAGACATTTCGACCCTGTGACAAAGTCCTAGTCCGGGGACTGTGAGCTCAGTGGACTGTGAAGCCCTCAGGCGGAGTCTCAGGTGCTGGCAGCCGGAACTCAGCAGCTGCAGGAAAGGCCAGGGCCACAGACAGGGTCCGCTGCTGCGTGAGTCAGGCTCTCCAGAGAAGCGGAACCGGAAGAACCAACACGTGAAGGGAGTAGAGGAGATCTACTGCAGGAACTGGCTCACGCACTTCCGGAGGCTGAGTCGTCCCACCACCTGCCATCTGCAAGCTGGAGAGCCAGAGAGCCAGCAGAGCCGGTGGTGTCCTTCAGCCTGAGGCCTGAGGCCTGGGACCAGCCCAGTCGGCCAGTGTCATGCCCGGAGTCTGAAGGCCGAGAACCAGGAGCTCTGAGCTGAGGGCAGAAGATGGACATCCTCGCTCAAGAAGGGGGGTGGGGGACGGCCCGGTGGCTGCTGCAGGGGTCAAGTTCGCCCTCTCGGCTTTGGCGCCTGGGGTTCTCTGGGTCAGATCCCAGGCTCGGACCTACGCACTGCTCATCGCGCCATGCTGTGACAGGCGTCCTACATATAAAATAGAGGAAGACGGGCACAGGTCTTAGCTCAGGGCCAGTCTTCCTCAGCAAAAAGAGGAGGATTGGCGGCAGATGTTAGCTCAGGGCTAATATTCCTCAGAGAAAAAAAAAGAAGAGAGAGAGGGCATTCATCCTTCCTCCACTGTTTTGTGCCTTTGGGGCCCTCAGTGGATTGGATGGTGCCCGCACACATTAGTGAGGGCCATCACTTTACGTAGTCTACTCAAGCAAAAGCTAATTTCTTCAGAAACACCCTTGCAGACACACCCAGAAACAATGTTTTACCTGGGTATCCCTTAGGCCAGTCAAGTTGACACATAAAATGAACCATCACAGCAACATAGGACATGCAAACTGTTCACATTGCTGCATACGAAGCAATCATTAATACAAGAATAATCCTGTTAATTTTTTGGTGATCCGAAAGTCACAATTTGAGACATTTACATTTTAACATGAACATTGTTTATTACATTTGGGCTTTTCACTGTGTAGTGTTGCATTTTAGGAAAAGCTTAAGCATTGACCGGTAGCCGTTACAGTTTTTCCCTTTCAAAACAATGGCAAACAGGACCGGTTGTGTTTGTGGCATTTAACACTGGATTTTCAGGACTGGCGTACTCATGTTCAGAGGGAGACGCCTATTTATAAGCAAATGCTATATTCTAGGTCAGATCTCATCTGGAAAAAGACACCATCCACGTGCACCTTAGTAGGTGGCAAGTGCTTCACTGAAGAGCCTGCGAGGAGCTGTCAGCGAGGAGCAGAGCTGAGGGAGGAGGGGGCGTGGCTGGGGGCGGGGCGTGGGTGTGCTTCCCACGCTCCCCGCAGTGTAGTCACAGCACCCTCTTTATTGAGCTACCCTTCACTAGCGGACATCTAAACTTGTCTTTTCCTGAAACGTCCCTGGAACCACGCTCATATGACCACGGGAACTGTTTACTAAACAACTTTGTCCCATGAACTTTTACAATAAATCAGAGATGAAGACACAGCAATTTATCAGCTACTGAGTAACGTTGTAACAAATCCTTAGTAAGCCATTTATGAAAGATCTTTCCCAACAATGCATTCATTAAATAAACATCAAAACAGGAGATATTTTTCTTTTTCCCATGGTCTCAAACCCTTGTACCAACGCGGAACACGTGAAGGACGTGTCCCACCCTCACTAGCTGCCGGCTGCCCGGCAGCGCTTCTCCCCGAGGCCGCAGGGCCCACGGCGTGAGGACATCTCGAGTTGGCGGAGGGGCTGGGCTTGGCGGTGGTGGGAGACGCAGAGACAGCTCCGCGGGTGATCCAGTTACCTCCTCTGTGGCCACGAGACCGCGCCTCTCCGCCGTCACCCGTGGCGCAACTGACGGAGGGCCCCGCGCTGAGCTCCATCCCCGGGCTTGCGGGGAGGCTGGTCCCAGCCAACGAGCGAGGGCTGCAGGGACGCCGGGCACCACGACGGGCCGGGCCTGGAGACAGGCCTGCTCCAGCGCGGGACGCGGCTCCGGGACTCTGGCGGCCGCGCTGAAGCTCCCTCAGGCTGTGGGCGCCCTGGGACGGCTGCCCAGCCTTCCTCCTGGCTCCTTCCCTCAGTCAGACCCGCAGCAGTTGGACGGGCTCCCAGCCCGTCTGCCTTTCTCCCCGTTTTCTCTCGCACAGATGTTTCCCTTAATAAAATCCTTTGCCTTCTAATCCCATCTTGGAGGCTGATTCTCAGCAGACCCAGAATAACACACTTTCTTAGTTTAGAACCACTGATTTAGATTCTCTTTACCCAGAATTTCTGGCTCTGCCTCCAAAATAGAAAGCTTATAATACTCACTTGTGCGTGTTCCTCCAAATCTTGCTCTAGCCAGGTGGCTGCTTTTCTGTGAAGTCACCTGCTACTGTTTACAAGTTGCCCTCAAAATAAACTCTTCCAGACTTAACTCCTCGGCTTTGATTCCGCTAATTAGTAATTTTCTAAATGGTGCCCTATCCACAAAACCTTAAAAATGAATAAATAAAAGCAATTGTTTTCCTTTATATTTCAATTTTCAAATTAAGATAATCAAAAACGTCTATTTTTCTGTTACATTTTTGTTCCTTTGTGATTTTTTTTAAAAAAACAAAAATATTTCTGAGTTCTGAAACACTGTTCACTGACGTGCTTATTCTCAAGTTTTACTGGGTTCAGGGACCCAGCACTTGCCCCAGAAAAAGACTTAGACATGCAAAATTTTCACAAAAACCCTACACCAAGGGTCTTTCTAGGCTAAGGAACATTTCAGAATGTCCTCGTTGCTGCTCTGAATTTAATGTATTTTGCTTCCTACTCTGAGCTACTTTTGAAAAGGAAAAGTTAAATTTGTTGTTCATGCTGATTCTTTGGAATTCATGTATAAGTCAATGGAACACATAAATGTAAGATTATATAACTTATATTTAACTCAGATGACCATTTTTTCACATAATCTTCCTGTCTGAAGCAGAGAGTTTATGGAGGAAAGTGCAGAAGATAATGTGGGACTATGGAATGCAGGTTCTGGAGACAGACTTCCTAGGTTTGAATTCCACATTGCCATTCCTTACATATAACAAGCACTCTCCCACCTCAGGGCCTTTGCACTTGCTGTACCTTCTTCCTGGAAACCCCTTTTCTCAAATATTTACATGGCTGATTCACTCACTTCTTCAGGTCATTTCCCAAGTGTGACCTTATCAGAGAGACCTTCCTTATGGGCGCCACTCTCCATCAGTCTCTACCCTGACTCTGCTTTATATTTCTTCATAGAACTTGTCACCACCTGACATATCATCTATTTGTTTCTTTACTGTCCATGTCCTCTTGAAAGGATACAAAGCTCCATGTAAGGAAGGATTTTGCACAAACATACACACACATACCCATCAACCCCATTCTAGAACAATTGCCTTACACAGGGTAGGTGCTCAATAAATATTTGTTAAATAAATTGTAGAACCTTAAAATAATGTACATTTTGGGATGTTTGCACAGAACAAAGACTACTTCTAATATAATAGTCTAAATTACTTTTAACTAATAGTGCTATCATCTTTTAATGAGATAGATAAATGACCTTTTAAAGCAGATACTTTGGTCTGCAAAAACATAGTATGGAAGTACATATTGATTTAGTCATCTCGAGATTCCAATAAAACTTCCTTCAGTAAATGTATGTGAAAGCTCACAAATAATTATAACTAATGCTTAAATGGTGCTTACTGCTTTAAATGGTCTACCTATGTTAATTCACTAAATCTTTTAACAGCCCTGTGATACAGACAGTCATTCCCAGGTTACAGATAAAGAAGCCCAGGCATGGAAAGCTTGTAATCTACCCAAGATCACCTAGTTAATCAGTGGCAGAGCTGGGATTCAGGCAGTCAAGCCTGGATGCAAGCTCTTAACCACTACCTTATACAGTCTTTCTAGTACATGAAAGACAAAACTGGAATTAATGGTGAGGGAAATGTCTATGTTTCCATTATTTGTACTTCCTACTTACAGTGTGAACATAGCACTGCTGTGGTTATTTAAAGTGCCCAAATTGTCTTTTCTAAAACTCGAAGAAAAAACCCCAAAAGGTTAGTTGCTTGAACAACCATCCCACACCACTAGTAAAGCACAATCCTCTGCCGCCTCTTTCCTGCCCCTCCTGAGCAGCTTGTTTCTACACACATTGCACCGCACTGAGTTTTCAACATCACCCTTGCAGTTCAGCCCGGGAATACGTCTCCATACCAAAGGCAGTTAGCTTGTAGAATGGTTTTCTGAGAGACAGTAGCAAAGCTGTTGTAGTTTTGGGCTTGGAGAGCGTTACCTGTCTAGGAATGTTCCTGAGGGGAGATGGCCCCAGGCCGGCCAATCCTGGGAGCACAGCTTCTCCTTCCTAGTCTGTGCTGCCCTGGTCCTCTGAAGGCATCAGGGTCCTTTCTGAAGGAGATATCACATTTTTTTACTGATTCCAGATGTCCAATGAATTTGAGAACTGCATTTCATCTGATCCATAATTTTGTACTGTATGCTGGAATTTTTGCCAAATCAATCTGAGAAAATAAGTTGGCAGTATTTCCAGTTTCAAAAGCAGGTGTGAAATGAATTTAAGCTTTGCAGGATGGTGAGGACCTAGGCCAGGCTCTTGATGACCACGGCTTACCACCGAGGACCGTGTGCCGGGAAGCTGTGCAGACACAGGCTGTGGATTTCAGATGCCTCTGCAAAGACCTAGTTGTGCATCCGGCCAGTTCTGCTTCATTTTCTGGTGCAAATGGAAGCTGTGCCAGTAAGCGTCTATGGATTTCACTGAGTTGCACTGTGTTCTTTTTTCATACTCGTAATTTTGGATTTCAGAAAAGTGAAGGTGTTGAAAAGAGTTCACAGATTTTAAAACTTTACGTTAACATTTTTAAAGAGCATAGAGTTTGACATTTCTCCTGAAGCAGCTGCTTCGTCACTATTGATTGCCTTGACTTCTAGTTCTAGAAATAAACAGAAGTTCTATCTCACAAATGTTCAAACTAGGACTTAACAGAAGTTCACAGACAAATAAGTCTATTCTTAGTTCCCCAAGAGCTCACCAAATCTCGTGCTTTATTTGTAATCCATGGGCCTAGGATTATTGGCTTTCTCTATCTCACATTCTTTTGAGAATAAGCAGAATATAAATAAACTCCAAACATATTTTTAAAAAGTGCCTTTGTATTATAACCCTCATCCATGCAGTGGACACTTCATGATTGGGTCCCAGTATTTCATTTCTCCTTTCTAACTTCCACTTTCCTTTTAGGGACCCATGAGGTTCTCGGAATACTGTTTCTATCCTCAGCCCCTAAGATAGAGCAGGTGACACAGGCTAAGTCAATGACTCAGTCAGAGTCTGAGGGGTGGGATGTGGAAATGGGAGGCTTGAAACAAGAGCAAATGTTTTGCTACCATGAAGAAAGCCAACCTGAAGAAGAAGCCAGTACACGGGGCAGACAGAGTTGAGAACATGAGGCGGGAAAAAAGCCAGAGTACTGATGACATCAAGAAATTCTAGCTCAAACCCCCTGAAGCCTGCCTCCCTCTGGACTTCTCATTTACATGAGCCAATGAATTGCTTTTATTGTTTAGATCTGAACTGTGGCTTCTGTTACTTGCAATTTAAAACTTTCTAATAATAGTCTTTTGCAAGGTATAAACTGGTACACAGAGGCAGTTTCTTAATACTGGAACTCTATCTGCTCCACTTTATGGACTAGGATGCTTTTGGCTGCAACCGTAGTGGCTTAACCAATGAAATCGAGGACCACCATGTTGTACGACGTGGAGAGTTCTCCCCAGAGTTATGCAACACAGTGGCTCTGATGAGGCTGTTTATAACACCACTTAACAAGAAGTTCAGAAGCAGGCCTGCTGTAGGCTTGGTTAATGTGCAGCTCGAGAAGTCTTTAAAGACCTGGATCCTTCAGCTTTCCACTGCATCCTCAGTGGGTTGGTTTGGTTCCTCGTAGTCCCAAGACAGCTGACAAGGAGGAAATATTTTCCTCAGAAGTGCCCCACAGACTTTGACTCATATCTCATTGACCAGGACTGGGTCACCTACCTACACAAAAGCGAAAACAAATGGGGTTGGGCAAATCATAATCTATATTTTGGGGCTCAGGATGGATCCCACTTCCCTGTGTACACCGCTGTTTGATAATCTGAAAAAAATTAGGGATCTTCACATGGCTGCATTGGCGACTAACAGTGTTTGCCATATCCACCAAGGATATCATCAAAAACATCTGTTACAAACCTTTTTGTCTTCTACCTTGAGAGAAATATTTTTATCAAAATGTTCAAAGCACAATCATACGGTTGAAATAAAAAAGTGATTTTCAAATCCAATTTTTTATGTCTGTTTCATTGTATGTCAATTTTACCTCAATAAAGCTATTAAAATATTTGTTATTAGTAGTGGTATCACAACTGTTATGCTTGACCCATATTTTAATACTAAAACACAAAGTCCCTGGACCTGGGTGAATTCAACATCAAAGATATTAAAAGAAGAGGACGCTCAATTAATCTGTTGTGTAGCAAGATCTTTCAGATGTAGAAGCTACTATCCTCTCCATACCCTCTCTTGAGGAAAATAAGTTGAGAGCCACACAGGAGTTAAAATATTTGTTTCATATGCCTGTGATTCAAGATATATTATTGCAAAACCTAGTTATATTTTTGAGACTAGAAGCAAAGTTTAACCAACAACAACTTAAGAAATGACAAAATGAAGAAACAGAAAAAACTAGATAGGTAAGGAAAAGGAAATTGAACTAAAGAAAAAGGAAAATAGACAAGGGGAGTAATAAAAATATTTTTTAAAAATTATATATGCCTGGCTATCATTAAAAAACCACCCAAATATAAGTGATATCTATGTTTTCAGAGATATTGCTATTCGTCTAATACTCATTTCTTTTGAGTTTTCCAGTATCATCAGTCTCTCGCTATAGAATTACATTTGCTATGCCATATTATTTATTCTGTATTACATTGCTCTGGCAATAATCAAAGACATGCTGTGGGTTTCTGTAACGTTCTGACCTATGGTTCTCCTTCAGTCCTCTTACTTTGATTAGTATGGTAGTTCTCCTGCTACCCTAGAATGGATTCCAGAAATGGAGAAATTGGCTTTGGCTTAATATTTATTACTTCCACTTTTCTTATAATAAGCTCTTAGGCCCCACTTATTTCAACATACATCTCCTGCCTTTTCATTGTTTTGTTGTTTATAATGTCATTGGCAAACACTGCGGGGGGAAAAACAGCTCTAACATAGAGAAATTCTGTCTGTAATTATCATGGTAGATAGTGGTAACAATTGTATCATGGCTTCTCTTTGTTTAATATAATTCAGCTTATATTTGTTAATCAAACGCTTAGTGACAATATGTTGTGAATTGCTGCTTCTGAGATGCATCATTTTCTAGTGTCACATCCTCTACATCTCTCTCTCCTTGACCGGGGTTAAATTGACACACATTTCTTCGTGTCCACATGTACTGGATGGATTCCAAAGCTGCAGCTGCAGAAATCTCAGGTGAATTGTCAATGACATTTTAAATTGGTGCTTCAACTGGAAAAATCTCAGATGGTGGTTGTGATAGGCAGCCTCCAAAACAGCTCCCAGCAATCCCCTCCTTCTGGTGTTCATGAGCTTGTGCAGGCCCTCCCCTGGAGCGTGGGCTGGACCAGTGCTCCCTTCTAATAGATAGTGTACAGCAAAAGTAAGTGATGGGATGTCGCCCCTGAGATAAGGTTACAAAAAGACTGTGGCTTCCATCTTGGGCTTTCCCTCTGAGGGAAGCCTGCTGCCTTGTTGTGAGTCCCCAGTGGAGAGGCCCACGTGGCAAAGAGCTGAGGGAGGCCCCCAGCCCCCAGCCAGCAGGTAACTGCAGCACCTCAGTCCAACAACCCCTGAGGAACCGAATCCTGCTGAGAACCACGTGAGTGAGCCTGGGGGTGAATCCTCACCCAGTCAAGGCTTCAGATATCACCCTGACTGCAACTGGAGCCCCAGGCACCCTGCTAGGCTGCACCCAGACCTCTGACCCAGAGAAACAGTGAGGTAACAAATGTTTCATGTTTTCAGTCTCTAAATTCTGAAGTAACTTGTTAAGCAAGAATTGATAACTAATATAGTGGCCAATTTAGTCCTTTTTTCCCCCAAAGACTGAATTGAGAATATTGTAAAATGGACTGTTAGCTCTGAAAAAACAAGAGCGGTTCAAGATTACCAGCTCACTTCTTGAAGTAGCCCCACTCCCTCTGTTTCAATGGTGAGGTGGGGAGTGCGGGGCGGGACCTCCTCTACCACCATATAGTCTGTCCATAATCAGTATTTGTTAAATATATTAGGGTCCATTTTTCATTGCCTCTTTTGCAAAATAGGTTTGAGGCAGTTTATATTAAAGAGCATAAACACAATACAATTAACATTGCAATAGGAAGTCAAGGCCAGGAGAAGAAGACTGCATTGCATCTACCGAGGGCGATGGTGGGAGGCAGAACAACGGCCCCCAAAGATGCCCACACCCTAATCCCTAGATCCTGTGAGCGTGTTATGTTAGATGGCAATGGGGAGTCAAGTTTGCAGATGGAATTAGATGTGCTGAAAGCTGACCTTAAAATAAGGAGATTATCCTGGATCATCTGGGTGGGCCCGGAGTAATCCCAAGAGCCCTTAAATGGGGAACGGGAGGAACCAGAGACTTGGCGTCAGGAGAAAGAATTGACCGGCCACTGCCGGCTTTGAAGATGGAAGGGGCCCAAGCAAGGGAGTGATCTTTTTCTAAGTTTTCAGACCCTTGTCATTTTATCTGGTCATCAGACGAAAAGATTTCAGGGGCAAGTAGGCACCAAGGCAGGCTAATAATGTCAAACGACTTCAGTCCTCTGCTCTTTCAGTATTGACTCACCGTTTACGTAGAGAGGCTGAGAGTAGTGTGCAGGAAGGGCCCAGAAGGACAGTGCCTGGTCATGGTGCTGGGCTTGGCTTCCCTGCTCCGAGAAGTTCAGCTCAGGCTGCAAATCTGCAAGTCCCACACACTCGGGGAAACAGAAGCCCCATCACAAACACACCGCACAGACCTACACATCTTAGAAGGAGTTTAGCCATGATTTGCTACTTCTTGAGCAAGCCGCCTTGGAGACTCATATCCCCGACCCATTACTGTAGAAAAGTGTTGCGACCCATCTCCTTCCCCTGTCTTTCTCCAATGCAGCCACACTGGCCTCTTTCCTGTTCCTAAATGCCCCTGCAAGCTCCTGCCTCCTGGCCTTTGTGTTTCTGTTTCCTCTTTCTGGTATGTTCTTCCCCATTGTTCCCTCACCCTTTTCGGATCTCTGCTGAAAGTTACCTTGACAGAAAAGCCTTCCCTCTCCATCCTGTGTAGAGTGCTCCTCCCCTGTCACTGTCCCCTTAATCCGCTTTCCTCTCCTTCGTAGCCCCCGTCACTGCCTGACATTTTCTATAGTGATTCTGCACCGTCTCTGTCCCCCACTAGAATGTGGTCTCCACAAGGGCAGGGTTCTGGATTTCTGATCACTCTTCATCCGCAGCATCCAGGACAATGCTAGGTGTACAGAAAGCACACAGTGAGTATTTAATGAACAAGTGAATGAATGCTTTCTAACCACCTATAGTCATCTCCCCCAGAGAAGTTTCCATAAATGGACTTTTCTCCATCTTGCTTCATTTTCACTGCTGTCTATACCATCCAGTGATGCGGGGAGTTCTCTGGCACCTGGGACACTCCTTGTTGGCCCCGTCCTTGACTGGACTCTGTGAATCCACAAATTTGACCTGTATATGCTCATTAGAGGGTCAGTAACATCTGTTCTATTCACCTAGAATTTACTTACCCCAAGTCGAATCTAGATCTCTGATAAATAACAGATCTTAGTGCATTGTTTTCAAACTTATTTTAGCCCCAATCCCTTTGCTCAAAGGAGGAGCAGAAGTC